TGTCCTAAATGTACTTTTCCTGTATTGCAAGTGATAAATTGTAGTGGCTGGCTGACCACAGATTCTGTTGAGATCTAATAAAAGATGTTTAACTCCAGCTGTGTTCTCTTAGAGTCAAAAGCTGAAGATTAATCTTAGTCTTGCTTTACAGTCTTCGTTGTACCAAACATATAGGAAGAACAAACACAATGTGAGGGATGTGGTTTAATTAGGCCACAACTTCATTTATTTGTCTGGGAACTATCTGGCAATAACTTGTCCATTCAGATCCTCATTACTTCCTTGCTCATTACTACCTCTTTGCTCTTGTCATCGAGGCACCCATTGTGGGCTCGCTTGCCCTACCCAGATTTCTCTGTTACGTCAATGTGGCATGAAGAATTGTCTGTGTCAGAAACAGTCTCTTATAAACTGACCTAATCATGCGTGTACTCAGCTCTGATTTGCCATGCCTTTCTGAATTGATTCTCGAATGTGTTAGGGTCAGCATTCAGCCAGCCTCAGACCTGGGGCTAACAAGAGGACCCCACATGCAGCTGTGGCCAAAGACGTTGTCACATCACTGATGGCTGCCCTCTGACCAGATTTGATGGTTGTCTGAGAACTCTGCACTTGGCTGATGGGACTGCTGCAAATTGGCTTGGCAAGCTGTATCCTATAAGAATCACCACCTCTTCAAGGAGTGCTGCTGTCAACCACCACCCTGGTGCTGGGATTCCACCACCCTCCTGTGTCTGAGGGTTAAGAGGCTGGAGAAGGAGATTGTTGTCTTGCTAAACCAGATGTTATGAGCCTAAGCTCAACCCCATTCCCTAGCTTCATTAGGGGATGAATTACCTAAATCTGCTTCTGAGACTGGTTTACCAGGGAACCAGACCCACTATGGAATGAGTTCCTGCACTTGACACCTGCCACCAGGAGGTGCCAGCTATTAACTTGGCTGCCACCACCAACTGTCACCCAGGTTCCCAAATAGTTAATTGCATCCCTAACATTGGGCAAAAAATCTGCTCCCCCATTGAACAGGTCTATCTCTTCTTTCCTGAGTGACTCAGCTATAAAATATATATATTTTTTCATGGGTAACTACCAATCATCCCCATTTATGTACAAATTAAGTTGCTTCCTGATTTGCACATTTTTCTGGCCTTGTCAATTTGTGGAGGCCTGGCAGCTCTCCACCCTGCTCTGGTGCAGCATTTCAGAGTTTACAGTTGCCCCTGGGAGAAGGCCCTGATGATTGTCATGAAATTCTAAATGGTCTTCACCCAGGTGCACTAGAATCCTGTCCAATGGCTACTGTCTGGATGTCTGAGTGTAAGAGAGGCATCAGCTAGTCCCAGAGCAGCTCCTTCTTTCATGCCAACTCAAAATTGCCTTGCCTGTGAACTTGCAGATGAACGAGCAGCCCACCAGTGGACCCAGTGCACAAATCATGTCTGCAGATCCATGCATCAGTTCATGTGACCCACTCCTTTGCTCTTGAAAATTGAATAGATATTAAAATTAGCCATTCATGCCCTTCAACTCTGATTACCCACTGGAGGCCTCACATACATTCTATACTCCATTTGAATGCCAATGCCCAATTGTCTGCATCCCTCATGCCCCTATTTTCTGTTGGGCAGGGACAGTGGCAGCACCAAATCTGAACAAAGGGGACCTAAATTCAGTAGCAGGGAACTGTCACATTATTAAGTCTCCTTGATTGCCACAAAATGGTACTCTTTTTTGAGGTAACTCCCATTGCCCTGAAGAAAGGCAGG